TTTTTAAAGGAACTGTTTCAGAGAAATTACTCAACACATTTTGTGGATGATTCAAAAGTAATTAACCTACAGATATTTAACACAAGGATCTTGGTTCCTTGGTGTGTATTTAAAGTCCTTTCAAATGATGTAAATGATGTGGTTTCATCTCTCTGGGGGTCAGAAACACAGTATCAACAGAGTCTCATCTTCTGTCGGAGCCATATAGTACTTACTTTATCTGGTCCCTGTAGATTCCAGAAAACTAGTGCTAGTGAAATTCACATTGAAACATGAGGATGTAATTCTGTTGGTACCAAGGGAGAGGAGAAAAGAAGATGAAAGGCAGCCCAATGGCAGGTCCCCGTCAATCCTTTGATCAAGACCTCTTAGACCCAAGTGTCTCAGAGGAATTTCCACAACAAAAGTAATTCCTTTGTGTTTATTTTATTGTAACAGTGGCATGTCCTCAAGTCCACAAATAATATGTGGTTTCCACAGTGACCAACTCCATCAAACACTTTGTACAAGTTGGACCTAAATAGTGCAGCATTGTTTGTCCCCAAGCATTATCTCCTGGATAATTCCCTTTAGGGATATTGTATATTAGTCACTTTGCCAGCTAGAAGTCATATTTATTTTAACTCATGAAAAATCAGCTTAGAGATAGGCACTTGAAGACTCGTTCCCACCTTTCCATTTCCCCTTGATTTCCAAAGCAGCATCATGGCGGCAGGAGTTTATAGCCACAAAATGTCTGAGGTCTAGAGAGAAAGAAGGAGGGGAAAGTGCCTGGGTATGTACTAGCTTGTAAATTCCTATAAATGAATGTTCTACAACAAGACATACCCAGAGATTGCTGCTGGTGTGACCTGCAAGGAGGCAGGTAATCATAATAGTTTGACTTTTTTTCTCAACTTTACTTATTCTGTGATGTTGAGAATATATACAATAAAACATTCACAATTCAAGTTTCTCCATGTACAGTTTAGTAACATGGATTCTATTCTTGAGTTTTTCAGCCATCCTCACCTTTCTTTTCTAAATTGTTCCTGCCCCATGACTCCTGGTGAGGTGCTGTAGGATCAGCACTGGACTGTGAACCACAAGGCTGGCAGTTCAAATGCACCAGCTGCTCCACTGAAACCCTATACAGGATCGCTGTGAATTGGAATCAACTCATTGGCACATAACAACAACAACACAGCATCCTAGCTACCCTTCATAGTTGTGACAGACAAAAATGTCTCCAGGGAATTCTGGTGTGACACTGTAGGATGAAGCACTAGACTGTAAACCACACGGTCAGCAGTTCAAGCCCCCCAACTGCTCCTCAGAAACCCTATATAGGGTTGCTATGAGTTAGAACCGATTCCACGGTTAACAACAACATTAACTAAACAACAACATTAACTAAAAACTCACTGCCCTTAAGTTAACAACACTTAACAACAACATTAACTAAAAACTCACTGCCCTTAAGGTTCCGATCTCATCTCTACAAATGCTGTTGTCAGTTTGAGGCCATAAAAATGGTTCACAGTGCTCAAGGCAGATCCTTTTGAATAGTTAACCTTAAATACTATGGAGTCCTGGTGTGGTGCTGTGGGTTAATGCACTAGACTGCAAAGTCGCTTTGAACCACAAGGTCGGTGGTTCAAACTCACCAGTTGCTCTTTGGAAATCCCATACATGGTTGCTATGGGTTGGAACCGACTCAACTGCACTTAACAACAACAACAGTTATGTGGTGGAGCAAGGTACAATCTGTTAACCAGTTAATACCACTGACTTATTCCATTTACAGGGAGAACGTGTCTGTAATAAGGACACACACACAGAAACCCTTATATATCATACGTCTGACCAAAACCCAAACCTGTTGTTGTCAAGTAAAAAACCCAAACCCACTGTTACTGTGTCAGTCCCAACTCAGACCCACCCCATTTGGTTTCCTTGGCTGTGGTCCTATGGAAGTTGATCACCAGTACGTTCTTCCATGATAGCTCTGAATGGGTTCCTCCAACCATGAGGTTAGAAGATGAGCTCACTGTTTGTACCAATCATTGACGGAGTATTGAAAATCTAGATATGCCAGTTTGCACAGAATCTTCTTGCAATGTTTCTAGAAGTAAATGACTGTCACTTCAGATGGAACCGCTCTATATGTTGCTAAAAACAGAAACAGAGGTTTACAACACTGTTTCTGTTCCAGTGATCTGAGGTGGCATTATCATAGTTGGTATACTGTATCTTTATGCTTGACAACTCCTCGGAAGTCCTATATATAGTCGAGTCAGAACAGACTCCAGGACACTTAACAACAAATTATTATGTAACACATAGGATTGAGTTGCTAATGTCAATGTGTGTTATAAATCAAAACAGAAAACTAGAGGCATGATGTTGTTAAGTGCCAATGAGTCAATTCCAATTCATAACAAACCTGAATAGGGTTTCTGAGAAGCATGGAGTGGGTTTGAACTGCTGACTTTGTGGTTCAGACTGACCTTGCAGCCCAGTGCTTTATCCCACAGTGCCACACCAGGACTTCTGAGGCACATTTCATATGAATGCTGATTCGTATTCCTTCCAGACTACGAGAAGGACTTGCTTGCAGAGGTTTACAGCACAACTGAATGCATTTCATGAAGCTTTGATGCCCTTATTCCAACATCAATAGATTAACATTAACATTAACAAGCTTAGAGCACAGGCAGAGTTCACCAAGCAAAAAAAAAAAATGAAGTGAAATGAAACCAGAAGTGTGTGTAACAAGCTAAAACAATCATTTTTATTTTTGTAGTAGTGTTGTTTTGTACTTAGTAGATTACAGAATTCTTACATTGCTGAGTAATCTATGTACCAACCCAAATCTATAGTGCATGTGAAATTTGATAAATTGAATTTGCATTCCTGAAGCAATATAGAAAAAAAAAAGTGCACTAGTTAAATCTCTTAATACTAAACGTTAGGAGTTTTGCAGCTTGTGATGTGAATAAATGTCTTATGCAGAAAACAGAACTGTACGATTGTGCATGTATGCTTAACAAGTAATTTTAATTGCTCATAGTTCAAAAAAAAAGGATCAAAGGAAAGGACAGGACCAAGGGAGGGAGGAAAGAAGAGAAATGGAAAAAGAAAGAAAGAGAAAAGAAAAGTATTTTATACATCTATGCTGCTTATCTTTATGGTAATCTTGAACTTTGACTCTGTTCAGTTAATTGTGGTTTAATTTAAATACAAAGGGTGAGACATGGAGAAAAGCAAAGTGGAGCTGTGGGTTAATGCAGCAGACTGCAGAGTCTTTTGAACTGCAAGGGCTGTGGTTCAAGCTCACCAGCTGCTCCTTGGAAACCCTATATACAGGGTCGCTATAGGTAGGAATCGACTCAATGGCACTTAACAACAACAACAACAAATCAGATAAGATCAATAAGATCGGTGGCATTTACATACTATCTATCAGTGCAGCAGCAAATTATAAAGAAAATAAAACCACAGATAATTCTGAATGTAGCCAATTCTCTTTACTTTATAAAGCACGAAAAAACTCTTCTTTGATTGGATTTGTGGTTAAATAAATCATGAATGATATCATTCAGCACAGAAATAGAGAATATGAGTTTACTTCGTGTCCTAAAATGTAAGCAATTCCATAGCGGCTCAGTTTATCAGCTTAATTTACATTCAAATCATTTTAATTGTATTTCACAAAATCACCAATTTAAAGAACTTTTCTGAGTTCAGTGAAAGACTTTCTTAATATCCACAACTGCACAACTGAAGTCATTTATGTCTTGCATGATAATTAAGACAGGAAGCTTAACTGCTTCTTGGCACAAAAATGCAAGCACAGCCCCAGCCCCCTGCAAAGGCGAACTACAAAACTGGTTTCATCCCTGGAGTAACCAAAACTGCATTCTTCTAGGACCTATGCACAGAGGGTTTCCAGGTGTTGGTCACCGTATTCCAGGCCCTCACCCCTTCTCTGTGATCCTGCCTCTTCATCAGGTCCTCAAAGAAGGTGAGAAACAGGCATAGGCTGTCACTTTGTTGGAGAACCTAGAGGTGTCCTGATTGCTGTATTTCTTCTCTTTCATATATAACGTCATTCATTGGAGGTGATGGGACATTTAAGAAATACTGCTTTGAATAATGAATCCACTTTTTTTCTGCTTTATGGATTAGAGAAAAAGGACTTATAATAATTACTAATCTGGGAAAATTCCAGAGGAAGAACTGTGTAAGTCACCAGCATGATCTATTTCATAACCACCACCTATGCCTACTGATACCACGGCAGTAGGAGGCACAAACCTGTGGTCTCAAACTCCCCAGTTAATTCTTCAGTTAAATACCTGAACACTGTAATCTAGGGAATGCACAGTTCACAGTTCCTTTCTTGGCTAGATGGCCTCATGCTGTTTATAAGAAATCACTCCTTATCCTAACAATTTTCATATCGTACTATCTGATATTTAAAGACTTGTTATTGATGCTGACAGTCTTTCTTCCTATTTAGGTTTACCCTGGCATCCTGCCTTTGCTCTGCATTGCTGAGAATTGCTTCTGCAAGGAAAGATTACAAGTATATGCGATAATCGAAGGAAAAGAAGTTTAAAGTAATCTATTTGGTTTCTTAATAACATTCCTAAGAAACATTTGCTAGTAAAAAAAAAGAAGTTAAAACCATTGTATACTGTTAAGATTTTTCTTGTATCAAGTTTAATCTACTCGATCACCCTCAAACCAAAACTCACAGTTGCATCGTTCTTGAAAGGACACACATGGAAGGCTACTGGAGAATAAAGTGATGGGAGGCTCTGGTAGCGTAGTGGTTACGAATCGGGCTGCGAACCTTAAGGTCAGTGGTTCGAAACTACCAGTTGCTCCGCGGGAGAAAGATGAGGCTTTCTACTCCTGTAAGGGTTTACACCCTCGGAAACCCTGTACAGGGTCGCTATGGGTCGGAACCGACTCGAAGGCACTTAACAACAACCCTTGTAATTTAGTGAGGACTACATTTGGGATTCTACAGAGATCCTATTTACTGTTAGGAGGGCTTTCTGATAAGGCACCTCCTTATAATCTTCCCTGGTGGAGCTAGTGGTCTCTTCAGGATTTTCACAACTGCTAACAATGGCCACCGCACTAAATGACCTTCGCCTGACCTTGGTGTCTGAAGCGCTGGATGCTCTTAATGCTGCTACTTTATCCACGTTGTGGAGCTGCTGATCTTTCCAGTCCAATTGTTTGGCGCTGCAAAAGGGGGCGTAGACTTCAACACTTCCCTCAAACTGTAAGCAGTTCACTTTGTAATACTTTCTCTTAACTTCCAAGACGTCGTTAAACCTGTGCCCCCAGAGAATTTCTCGAGGGACATAAGAACTTCTGGATTGATGAGATGTCCCGGTGGAATCTCCAGTATAGATAAATGTTACCAATATCTCAAAGTTATCTTTGGCTACGGCTTTGCGGTCCAGGGCATAAAGAGGGCTCTCGTGGTCAATTTCATGAACAATGGTTACTGGAGTAACAAGAATGATCTGATCATTTACTAACTTGAGGTCTTTAAATGCCATCGTCATCCGCCCTTCACTGTCTTCTGTGTACCGGAGAAGTTGAGCTCTGACTGTTCCTTCTACCACGTGGTTTGGCCGGAAATCACCAATGCGCCACATGAGACAAAGTTTCCCATCTCTCATGCCTATGAGCGCAAAATAGCTAAACCGAATGGTCTGGGCTCTCTTCCGAGCAGTTGCCATTTTGGCTAAGGCGGCTCCAATGATGAAGGTATTTATGATGCAGCTTAAAATGGACTGAAGGATTACCGTCAGCACTGCCACAGAACATTCCTCAGTGACACAGCGGTAGCCGTAACCGATGGTGGTCTGCGTCTCCAGGGAGAATAAAAACGCGCCTGTGAATGTATGGACATTGTCCACGCAAGGTACGGTGTCTGGGTCATTCAACAGATCTCCATGATGAAAGGCTATCAGCCAAAAGACAGTGCCAAAAATCAACCAGGAGAGAATATAAGACAAAGAAAAGATCACAAACATATGGCGCCACTTGGTGTCGACAAGAGTGGTGAAGATGTCGACCACGTAGCTCCCCCATTCTCCAAAAATGTGCTTGAAATACACATTACAGCTGCCATCTTTGTGGAGTAGACGTCTCCTTGCTCGTCTTTTCTCCGCTATAATATGCTCTGGGGGATAGATTGGATACTTAGGGTCCACATTTACAATCCGATAGCTGTTGCCGGAATAGCTCATTCTTTTCTGTGCCCTTAGGGCATCTAGCTATATTTTGCAGCTGTGAGCGTTCTAGATGTGCTGTTGCTTCTTGATTTGGTTTTCAATCAAACTCTAAAAAAAAAAAAAGCAAAGCACTCTTTAGCTTTCATTTTCCAACACATCTCAATTTGCCAAATTTCAAGCCATTTTATGCCATCTGAAACAGGCAGGACAACATTTGAAACAATCGAGATATTCAGTGTGCATGACTCATTTCAGTTTAGAATTCAAGTCAGTCATCAGAAGGAGGAGAAAAAAAGTGCAATTAGAGAAAATATTGTTACATATGCATTACATTTGCGTAAACAATACGATTAATACCAAATGAAGTCTTACTACCTTTTCTGACCCGACATAAACACAAGTGACCCCCGCTTGTGTTTTGTTTTGTTTTTTTCTTCTTGAATGAAGACATTTAATAAAAAGTAATCCACAATCTAGAGACAAAATATTACTCAGCTATTTTACTAACAGTCAAATAAACTTTCTAGCTATTTCAGAAGAGGTGATTTTCCTTAGAAAGATACCACTCACATTTTCCATAGTTACATTATAGTGTAAATTACACACCAGTTGCTATAATACCACACCTGCAACATAGGTTGTTTCTCTCTTCTCCAGCAGCCTTTTCGTCCTTGTGTATTTCCCAGGACAGAATAGACAGGACAGAGACACTTACCTGCAGGTGAGAAACTTTTTCCCCTAGCTCCACCTTTTAATCTTGAGAGGGGAGAAACAGCACACAAGGCATTCAAAACACTTTCTGAATCCCACAAGGGTCAAAACCACTCCCAGACAAGCTTTCAGTAAGGTGTAAAATTGCTCTGCCTGTTTTCCATATCATCCATCCCTTTTTCTTTTTTTTTTTTATAAATTTTTGTTTTCTATTTGACACTGCCAGCTCTTTTCTTTCCCCTTGAATGGAAGGAGAACATTTGCCAAAGTTGCTAATCTTATTTCCCTCTTAAAGGGAACGTGGTACAAAGCCCTGCTCTGTAGAGCTTCTGAGCGCTCCCGATGCCTTTAAAGCCACCCTAAGGCAAGTAATGTTTCTCCCTTCAAAAGCAGTCTTGACAATATCGAGGTCAAATATAGAGTTCTTATCAGTTTTAGCATACATGACACAGACCAATCCATTTCCCAGCTTAAGTCAAAAAGGTAGTTTAAAATACAATGTCGAAGTGTTCTTTCATTATGACTTCTGTGCAAAGAGAGAGACAATGAGAAAGCTGCAGCATGTGCAGCCCATTTTAATAGTTTAATAGGTTGGAGCATGTTTTCAGCACAGGCTTACTTGTGCTAGACTCCTGGATGAGCAGGGAGGGGTTCTCTTTAAACTAGAAGTTTCTTGCTCCTCTATTGCAGCAGAAATGCAGCGTGCATAAATGTTATTCCTGACACACAGAAACCCCACCTTAGAACCAGCCAGAGAAATATTAAGTACTTAGGGAGTCTGCCTCTGAGTAGGCATTAGCTGTTAATCTCAAAGTTAGTGGTTCAAACCCACCAGCTGCTCTTTGAGAGAAAGATGAGGCTGTCTGCTTCCGTGAAAATACACAACTTCAGAAACTCTATCTAGGGTCACTAAGAGATGGAATCAAATTGATAGCAGTGGGTTGGGGGTTCCTAGCTGCAAAGGAATAGAAAAGGTTAACCTGCCTTCAGTTAAAAAGGAATCATTTTTCTCTCTTCTCCAGGGACCAGGTCCACTTTACAATACACACTTTGTTTGGTGGGCCATTTGTGGGGATAGACTCTGTTTACAGACTGGAAATCTGTCGTCAGCCAAGAACACCCCTGTGACAGATACCAAATGTGTCCCTGAGCATTGCCCCCTGCCACTTCTCACACACACTGTCTGCCCCACCATGCTCTCCTCTTCAGCACTGAAACTGTGTTTCTGGGGAGACCATGCTATCATTTCAGGATAGGACTCAGGGCTGCCAACATGCTTGAATGCCAAGCGCAAAATAGTTCCATAAATCTTGTCCGCGATATTCATCCTCGGCTGCAGGTTCTGACCTGATTTGTCTTCCAATGACACTTCACGTATAGAAGAAGCGATGATGTGATTCTCAGCCTCTCCCCTCTCCTCCATGGCAGGAGACATTGTGAGAATGAGACAAATTCTAATCAAAGGTCCAGGCAATTTCAAATCAAAAGGTTAATTTAGAGAGAGGATTGTTTTCTTGGGAGTTTGTGAGTAAAACACAGTTCATAAATCAAAAGCTACTGTTCGATTCGGCTCTTTTCTGCTGCCAAAGGAAAGAAGAAAAAAATGGCATTCGTTTGGCATCATGAATTCCAGCGGTGTTAGCAACTGTCATAAACAAGGCACTTTTAAAACACCTTCAAATGTCTGCGAATAAGTAAACGGATTTTCAATGAATGCAATGCACACATATGCATGTCTAGAAATTTTATTTCTGAGCAATGTAATAATGTGAGGGCTACCATTTACAGTGGTTCAAGCTCACCAGCTGCTCCTCGGAAACCCTATACAGGGTCGCTATGGGTCAGAATTGACTCAACAGCACTTAACAACAACCATTTAGAGTTGTGGGAATTCTGCCCCCAAGCCACCATGTCCTCTGCTGTGGTTCATCACTGTGGTTGTTAATATCAATTTGGAAGCCCTGGTGGAACAATGTACTCAACAGCTAACCCGAAGGTCAGTGGTTCAAACCCACCAGCTGCTCTACAGGAGAAAGATTTGATTGTCTATTTCCATAAAGATTATAGCCTTGGTGACCCTATGGAAAAGTTCTACTTTGTAATATAGGGTCTCTATGAATGGCAATGGACTTGATTTGACTTAAAATTGAAAAAACAGCAGCTCCTAGTTAGATTCAAACACTACTCATCTATTCTTTGATTCTCCAACTATGTGGATTATGCATTTTCTAAAAGATAATCATCTTAAAGCTAACTAAATGATAGTTTATATCTAATTATATTGCCTTACTCAGTTTCAGAAATTTCAAAGAGCAAAGAAAGAACTTTAGAGAAACCCTTTTTTCAAAATTGCTAGACAAAGTAAATGTTTATGAATATTCATCTATTTTTAATTGATGTTGTTAAGTGCCATCAAAGTCGGTTCCGACTCATAATGATCTTGTATAGTAGTTCCAAGGAGAGGCTGGTGGGTTTGAACCACCAGCCTTACGGTTCAGGTTCAAACCAACCTTGTTTCATCCTACAGCACCACACCAGGAAGTTTCTATGCTAATTTGACCCCACAAGTTGATTCAATAGGAACTGATTTGGCTTTTGTTTCTTTATTCTACTTCCAACTGGAGGAATCTGTTTATAAGCCTCAGCTCTGCTCGGATTCAAGGAGAAACATGTGCTAATTTAGCGCATTTCACAAGTGGGCTTTAAGCACTCAGTCAATGAATACCCTTCATAGCTGTAATTTCTCAATCCACAGCCAGCCTTGCCTTGGTCAGACTCACCAAATTTGAAACAATTCCTCTCCTCTTTTGTCATATATTCTTATAACTCAGCTACTGACCAGCTAGACTACTTTTATAGACAGTTCTCCACACTTTAAGGCTTTTGCTTAAAATGTTAAGGATATAATGAAATGGTTATAACTTTACAACCCAAGTCATGCTGCTGATAAACTTCTTGTCTCTAGCATCTACAAAAATACATTAATACCAATTGTCTATCTTGTGAAGTTTGAAATGTAGCACACACAAAACATGGCCTAAAATATCTTCAGAAAAACTCATTTTTTACTAAGTTAACCATAAGGTCAGCAGTTTAAATTCAGTTTGTTATTGTTACTCGCTGTCAAGTGGGTTCTGGCTCACTGTGACCCTATATACAATAGAACGAAACACCGCCTGGTCCTACCCCATCCTCACAATCGCTGCTCTGCTTGATCCCATTGTGCCAATCTAGCTCATTGGGGGGCTCCCTCTAATTTTGTTGACCCTCCATTTTACCAAGCATGATGTCCTTCTCCAGGGACTGGTCCCTCCTGATAATATATCCAAAGTATGGGAGATGAAGTTTGGCCATCCTGGCTTCTAAGATCATGGTGGTTATGTGCTGTGGGGTCGACTCCGACTCATAGCGACCCTGTACAGGGTTTCCGAGGCTTTAAATCTTTACGGGAGCAGAAAGCCTCATCTTTCACCCACAGAATTGCCGGTAGTTCGAACTGCTGACGGTGAGGTTAACAGCCTGACTTGTAAACACTATGCTACCAGAGCTCCTTGACTTCTAAGATGGTGGCGGTGGTTATGTGCCGTGGCGTTGGTTCCGACTCATAGCGACCCTGTACAGGGTTTCCGAGGTTGTAAATGTTTACAGATGCAGAAAGCCTCATCTTTCTCCCATGGAACAGTTGGTAGTTTTGAACTGCTGACCTTGTGGTTCGCAGCCAATTGGTAACCACTACACTACCAGAGCTCCTTAGCTTCTAAGATGAGTGTCCCATAAATATTTACAGTCTCAGAAATCCTTTACAGGGTTGCTATGAGTTGTAACCAACTCTATGGAACACCGCCACCACTGCCAAGCCCTTTGATAAAGAAATTTGATGGTGACGTTGCTAAGTACTCAGCTGCTAACAAAAGGTCAACAGTTAGAATTCATCAGCTGTCCTGAGGAAGAAAGATGTGGCAGTCTGCTTCTATGAATATTGCTATTGTTGTTAAATGCCTCAGAGTCATTTCCAACTCGTAGTGGGCCTGTATTGGGATTTCGGAGGAGCAGCTGGTGAGCTTGAACTGCCGACCTTGTAGTTCAAACTGACCTTGCAATCCAGTGCATTAACCCACAGCACCACACCAGAATTATGAATAGTACAACCTTGGAAACCCTATGGGTCAGTTGTTCTCTGTCACGTAAAGCAGCTATGAGTTGGGATCAACTCCTTGGCATACAACAACTACAAGCCCTTTGAGGTTAACAAGTCCCTGCTTTAGCACGTCAATGGCCCGATATGGTTACAATAACTTGTGAAC